AGCTTGTACTAACAGATTAATAAACACAAATAAATCAGTGCATATACAGTATCCTTTAGGTCTTCATTAATGACCTGTGTTATTTACTTGCTTTAAGTCTGACAATTAAAATCCTGGGTTAACAGCTAAGAAACCCCACTCTTAAGTGATTACAACTATGATTAAAAACAAACATGTTTTGGTCAGCTGTAGTCAACCAGCTTTGATAAGCTTAAGTAGCTCTCACTCACCTTCATAGACTTCATAGTGTCATATCCATAGTAATGGATAGGATGCTTCTGCTCTGAAACCTTAGGATATCCAAACCCCGCGACATGAACTACATCGCAGTAATTAAGGGCCACAAAAATGGCTAAAATCCCTGTGGTAGGTTGGGTTAATTTCTGTAGAAAGAGACAGAGACAGAGACAGGCGTTTTTAAAATGTCATGATATATTCTAACACAAGGGGGCAGGGACTGCACATTTCAGAGTCTACATTCAGGGTCATTTCAGAGACTGGAAAAAGTTACATGGCTTCCAAAGAATCTTGACGATAAAATCGAGACAAACCTCTGTCCTTGTAAAGCACGTTTTATCTAACTGAAAAGATATGTACTGAGCTGCCTTCTCACAAGATGTGACGAAAAAAAATCATTACTAGCTTTTTTTGTTCCCTTCAAGTTCTTTTCTTTGAAGAAGGCAAGGCTTACTGGCTGCATAAGAGCACGGAAAAATAATTTCCATATGATACACTAAATGAAAAAGTCAGACAGAGCAGCAGTGCTATACTTGGCAACCTACTCTTTACCTTCAATCCTCTTGATTCAGGCTATTTCCCAGCTTCTTGAACATACTGTTGTGTTCCAGACAGGTTTTACTAAACAAACAATTCATACAAAAAACAACCTTGACCATATGGCAAGTACTGACGAAACACTACGAATTCACTGTACCTTTTGGGTAATGTAGGGATGAAAACTACTGGCAAATGGCACTAATCACGAGCAAAAACAATCTGTGTTTAACCACCCGAGTGCAATACCAGGCGGGAGCTACAGTAGGTGGTTTAAAAACAGTGTGCTACGTCAGCCCACAGTGCTGGCAGGGCTGGATGGTTCTAAAAAAGAACCGCTAAGTAATATTTCCTGTCGAGACACTCCCAGGTTTTCTATAAAAGAACTGGTTTCCAATTTTCGCACATTAAGGGTCCCAGAAGCCCCATAAGAAGAATGTTCTGCTTCCTCTACAGTATGTGTAACAGCAATGGCTGAAAAGGCTCTCGGAAATGCTCATTAGCTGATATACTAAATCCATGTGCAACTGCTTCACAGGGATTTAAGGACAGATACAGGTGTGAGCACAGGGAGGGGAAGGGGATACTGTGGGCCTTCACAGGCATCAAACCAGCTTTTAATTAAGAAAATGGAACAAAAAAAAAGCACAACGCTGTTCTCCCTCCCAACCTCAGCTTGCTTTGCTCCATGCGTTTCTTCAGCAGGCGGGTCACTCTGCTCGGAGCAGACATTATCTAAGCTAGCTGAGTGCTGCCAAGCTGGCACAGAGGGCCGTGGTAAAGGGCTGCCAACACAACAAAGCAGGTGGCCACTGCTCCTTGGGCGAGATGTTAGTGTGACCACTGTTTAAACGTTCAAGACTTTACAACTGGACTTTTTTAAATAAACAAGCTGCGCTTGACAATCACTGCATAATGGCATAGGAACGCCAGATCAGGATTGGCACAGCGCGTGGCTGGGCCCCACTCCTGATTTTCTACTGAGACCAAAGGAATTATTTTAGCAGCACGCCAATTATGTAATTTGTTTAATTATTTGTTGTTACTGAGTGAGACAAAACTGTTAAAATGTTGATTTTATTCTTTTTACTAGCTGAACACGGGTACCCTGAGGTGCTGATCTGTAAGCTATACAGCAGATCTCCTAGTTGGTATATGAATTTTGTAGATCTGTTCACACTTCAGATCCCTTTTGCCACTCATTGGGTTGCTATATTTGGAAGATCAATGTGAGAGTGTAGTGCACTTTGTGATGCTGCATGGGGGTGGCTCACTCTTAGGGCTGTTGATCCACACTGTCAGCACGCCCACCACAGACTGCCAGGCAAATTTTTCACTCATCTCAGAGCTACTAGCACACCCATCTTCTGTAACACTATTAGAGGTCAGCAGTTAACAGACCCTCAAATCACTCTGTACTTCAAGTAGAGCGATGATCTTCCTGGCTGCACCTCTGCTTCCTGGACTTCACTCACTTAAACTTCATTCACAAAGTGTGAGTGGAACTCATATGGGCATGACGCACATCTCAGCAAACATCTCAGCAAACCACAGCTTTCAGAGTCCTGTTCCTTTGACACGTCTCCAGAACTTCTTTTAAAGTTTTGTGGCAGGATCCTAGATCTACATTGGGTTCTAGAAAAGACTCTTGGAAATGCTCATTAGCTGATATACTGAACTCCTGTGCACTTTCCAAAAAGAGTTCCTAGATCTCTATCTCACTATCCCTCCAAGATGACTTCAGTCCATTTTGCTTGCTAGCTTCCCAGATTACACTGCACCTGTAGCTGCCAGCCTTACTGAATAACTGGCTACATACAGAAAGCAAGCCTGCTGGCTCACAGCTATGGAAGAAGCACTCTCTGTCCTGTCAGCTCTCTTCTGTCTCTCTCTCTCTGCAGGAAGGCAGGCCCTGCCACTGCAGGGCTGCTCACACCTGTTACTCTCCAAGTCACTGACTGGAGACAGCTACAGGCCCTTAAAGACACAAGCTTCTCCATGAGAAGGTCCACCTCTCACCATTCCATTCTCTAGCCTTACATTACCTCTCCCTTGGACACAGATTGAGGAGAAGTTGAGCCCTTGCAATGCATATCTTAGGTGGCATTATACTCTGTCCCCCTGGGACAAAGCTTAGGGTGAAACTATCAGCCACACAATCAACGTCTCGGGTGGCATCACATGTGCAAGGGGACTAGCTTTGGTCTTCTAGTATGCAAAGGCTCACTTTTGCATGCGTAACAAAAGAGAAAAAAAAGATATTTGAAGAGAGAATTAGAACAGAGATAAGATAGGAATTAACTGCAAAAGAACAAAGGCTCTGTGTCTTTTTATATGGAGTAATTCATATCTGCATTCCCATTACTAAAATAAAAATCAAGCAGCACAGCAAAAGACAGTAAAAGAGAGTTATGATGAGCAGCACCAGAAACGTAAAACCCTTATCTAAATTAACACAGACTGTACCTTTAGGCAAGGCAAATTTCTAAACCTGCTGATAGCCAGATTCATTACAGTGAAAAACTGCCAAGTAAAGGGCTTGCTTACAGCTCAACAGAAACTCGACAGCATCGTGCTTCAATAAAAGCTAATGGTGCAGCTGTGCCTGCAAGAAGACTC